AATTCTCAAAATCTGCTGACTAAAGTAGAATCCATCGTTGGGGTCACCTGTAATCTGTCTTCTTTTTTGCCTATGGTTTTGATATAATTAAAGGCCTCATTTCAGAACATGCCTTTGGTGTTAGTGACTATTGGTATGAATACTGTGTTTGTGATGCCAGCTTAATTTTATTAAGGACTTATGCCTTTTCGATGGCAGAAAATGAGTTTAGTCTTCGCTGCAAAATCAATACATGTGTAGTTCAAGATCAGTGGGAGACCGTTCATCCAGGATATAAGGGATATACCATCCGGGCATAGAGCGTTTTCATTTGAAAGACCCACTGGTTCAAGAGTGGGTGGGATATTAACTTTTTGAGGGCTAATAGGAGAATATTGTTAATGGTTATATGGTAGGTTTGACGTCCGCGGGAAAACTTGAAGTGCAAGAGATGGTAGGCATTCGATTTGATGGACTGTGCACAATTGATGTTAATGGAGAGTACAACTGCATTATAGCCAAGGCGAAGAGTTATGGATATGCGTCGTTGTTGACCAGTTATGAGGAGGCCGATATTGCTAAGGATGGTTTTCCACAATTCATAGCCAGTTTGCATTTAATTTAATACTATGTGGGTTTTCCTCGAAGCGCCTATTCGAAAAAGGTATTAAAAGGAACGCGGTATAAAGGGGTAACTTAGTCTTTTTGAATGTTAAAGACTGGGCGGCTGCAGGAGGGAGGGCAAGCTTTTGCTGTCCCAGGTAAGGGCCGGAGAGAGGTCAGGGAAATGGATACATTATTGATGATAACTTGAACTGCTAAATGGGATGAAATAAAGGCTTATGGTATTTTATTTTAATTAACTGTAAAATGTTGTATTTAAATCCTAAATAATATAAGCCTAACAACAATTTAACTTTTATTAATTCACTACTATCTTTTTAAAATAAGCAATTAACAACACAACCCATAGACAGAAAGACTGGGATGCACCAGTGGTTGCTCGCTGCGTTGAAACTCTCTTATCTAGCATGCAATCTACCGACCGCACCCTATTCTCTTCCCTGCTCAATGGTACGGGACATGAGTTTCTTGAGGCCATCCCATCTACCAATCTTCAGCTTCAACTATCCAACAATGTATTTATGCACGCCATCGGCATTCGTCTAAATTGTTCCATCACTCACCCTCACATCTGCTCAGGGTGCAACTCGCCAGTTGACTCGAAGGGTAGACATAGTTTACATTGTCGCTCCTGCAATGGACGATTCATCAGACACAAGCAATGCAACACAATCATCCAACATGCACTGAAATCCGCCCAAATTCCTTCCACTCTAGAACCACAGGGTTTTTTTAGATCTGACGGTAAACGTCCTGACGGGATCTCTCAAATCCCATGGAGGAGAGGCCAACTTTTGGTATGGGACTATTCCTGTATTGACCCCTTGGCCCCATCAAACCACGCCATCAACATCCTTGACCAGAAGGAACAACTTAAAACTTCTAAATACACAGAAATAATGAACGATCATTGCTTCATCCCAATCATATCAACCACTCTTGACACCTTCGGCAAACTCGCCTTAGCATTTTTCAATAACTTAGGATCACAAATCAGCAAACTCTCAGAAGAACCTCGAGAGGGTTTTTTTCTTCGTCAACGATTATCCATAGCGATTCTCAAAGCTAATTATATCAGTTTAAATGGTAGTCTTCTAGCCAAAGAGCTATCCTAGACAACACTTACGTCCCTTTTTCATTTTTGTTTCCCTGCGTCACACCATCTCCGTTCTTTTTTTTTATAGTATTATTATATATTTTTCAAACATTTTTAAATATATTAAAACATAAAATATTATATTTTCGTTTTTTTTAATACTTTATATTATTTATTATTTGAAAATTGAAAATAAAGGATTCTAATAAAATTATACAAGGCTAAAACTAAATTAATATATACAAACTATTTATATTTAAAAAGCTGAACTAAATTTATATTTTTTAAACACAACATTAACCTAATATTCTTAATGTTTCTATATGATTATTTTTATATAACTTACGACATTCCTACACAACACAGAAGAACTATTTAATTTCATCTAAAAAAAATTTGATATGATGCCTCTAATTTTTTTTATTTATCTGACGGCCTAGTGGGAAAATTGGAAAAACTATTCAATACGTCATCACTCGAAAGTTTTTGCCATTCTAGCATGTTGAATTTACTCCCCACACATATTTTTTTTAATATAATTCGTAGAGTATTTAGGTTTCTATACAAAATGTTTTTTTCCCACGTGATTAAAAACGAAATTAAGGACGATTATTTTTTTTTCTTATGCTGACAATAAATTATTTAAAAACAAACTGTTTCACTATCTTAACCCCGTCTGATATAAATCCAACGTTTATAGTGGCGTGCCTGGTACCATCTCCCCGTTCCTTATCACAAGTTAAAAATAAGCCACCATCTCGGTTTTAAAACACTGGATATACTTGCATAATAAAGGTAACCAAATTTAGAGAGGTGACTAATATTTCAACAAAACAGGGTGACCCAATCAAAACCCCCGAAACTTCCGGAATCGACAGTATTCCCTCTTCCCGCCATAACATCCCGCTTACTTAGCTACAAATATATCATAGCAGAATGACATTTTTGGCCATTGCGCATGGAAAAGTGCATTGAAAGCATAGGAGGCACAGTAAAAAGGCTAGCGGCTAGAGCCAGTTTACAGAGACCCTATGCTGATCAAACAACATCACTAATGTAGTTGTATGAATATGTAAAACATAATATAAATGGTATCGAGCTGTTCTTGGCACAAATTAGTATGATGCAGAAAAAGTTATCCTTATAAAACCATTTTTGAAGACAAGACCAATCCCAGGAACAAAAAAAAATGCTGCAATGATTCCTCTAGGGTTGAAACGTTTTATATCAAAAATAGATTTAAGTGCGACAGAAGCTACAATAGAAATCTGGGTTTGGGGGATGAAAGTATTACATTTATAATGTATAGGACTTGACATGCGTACATGACTCAAACTGGTGGTTAGCTTTGGTCATGAAAAAGAATGAGAAAACGGAACACTCTTGTGGTCCATCTAAATCTTTTATAACCGGTATAGGTGACACTCTACATCTACCCTAGGCAAATTTTAACCAGTTTCACTGTCTCCGACAGGAACCACTGCCAAGTTTAATACGACCGAAAAATTAGATTATATAAGTAAGCATTCTTTGATTTATTAAATCGGTATTTTTATTCATATATTCCATATCTTTAGGAAGTCTTATGTGAATGTAAGATCTATCTTTCCCCGATCCATACAAGATTTAAAAAAATATTGACATAATATGAAACAAGGAATGAAAATAAATTATTAATAAAACATATTTTAATAAATAAAATATGGTAAATATAGTATAAAATTAGTTGCTCGCTGGATAGAAACGTCATAGAAAATCTATTATATAGAAATATTATGTTAATTAAAATAAAACGCCATTAGTACAAAAAATATTTCTCGTTTTTACTAGTTTTTAAAGATTCCTATAAAGTTGTAAAAGTTCCTTTTTTCCACACTCATAGAATATGGTATATCTAAAATTTTATAGAAATCTGGGATGTCAAATTTTCTTTATAATTATTTTAAATTTTATTCTGTAATAAGAGGTCTAGAAAACTATATAAAAAAAAATTATTTTCTGAAATAAAAAGTATCTTTGTATTGATACCATATTTATTATCTATAATTGCATAATTTTTAATCAATAATTAATTTAATGATTACAGACACTCGCAAAAAGGTTATTTTAAATGCGTTGATCTTATAAAAGTTAGGAGGCTAAAAAATTTTCAAGTATATAGATTACAATAAATTTTGTTTATATATGAATTTTCATCAAAATTGAGAGGGGCAGAAATCATGTTTTAAATCATTTTGATATGGAATTATCTACCTATGATTATTCCAACCTTATCCCACATCAAGTTTCAGCCTTGTGAGTAATAATAGCCCACCAGCCATAAGTATAAGAATTATTATATCGATGTAAAAACATTCATATTTTATTTATTAATATGATAATTCAATAAAATCAAGAATAACACACTTTAAAGCTGGAGGACAAGTATATCATTTCATATATAATATTAAAGTGTTACATGAATTCTTATAGGATAGGGAATAAAAATACTGACTTTTTAAGTAAATGTATTATTTGTTGTATGCCAAATTGTTCACTCCAAATCAAAGGTCAAATAGTTGTAATACCAACAGAAATATTGAATTCAAATTTAATGGCAATAGATAAAACTAATATCTCAAAATCATTCTTCCATGAGATATTATAATTTTTATAAAACAAAGGGAATGGAGATGATTCAGAAATTTTTCATTAATCCAATCTGATATTCATATAAAACTGATCTGATAACCAATATCAATCTTATATTTAGCTAGATTATTTTTATATACCATTTTTCTTGTCATAAAAAATAATATCTTCTGTTCAAAAAATATATGAATAAAAGTAAGTATGTGTGAAAAACAAAAAATTTTTGCATAAATGACGAAGTGTATTTTGTTTTTAAAAATTTTAATCATCAATGTTTATAGCTGAACTTGTTAAATATTTTTAAATCCTTTTCTTGATGTAGATAATAAAAAACTAATAATATAACATTTTTAGTTACCTTTTCTAAAATTCAATTTCTTTTTAAATATTAGAAATAAATTTCCATTTATTTATTTTTTATTATTAGAACAATAAAAATTAACCAAAATAATGAAAATATTGGAATCAGTTTTTTTTATAAATAATGGCACAATTGGATATTTTTTATGGTCCTGATCTGATCCAATATTTAATATTGACATAGTCCTAGGATATTTTATTTAAATGTCTTATAAATAAAGGTTTAAAAAATATATATTAGATCAGATCCATGAAAAATTGGAGGTAGCATAATCCTAATAAATAGTAAATAATAAGTTTTATTATAAACATGAATATGATCTCCAGGTATAATGCTCCAAAAAGATTCTGCCTTTTTAATTAATGCATGAAAGAACCCTGAAATTAACGTCTAAAAATTAAAACATAAAATTATTATAAATATATAATATATACTTTTATTAATGTTTTAATTTCAATGTAATTATTATCAATTTTTATAGATATATCTTTTTGTGACATTATGGTTGGCTCAATAAATACTCTCACATCTATATCATCATTAGTTTGGGTCCATACATAATTTTCCCTAATTGCACCATTATAACTTTCTGAGTATTTTTGAAAAACAATTTGATCTCTTTCATGTTTAAAATAAACATTGATAATATAATGAATTTTACTTTTTTGAGTCACCAGATAATGGTAAATTTTTTAATTTTAACAATTCATATTTATTTGATTTTAGCTCTCTTGGAAAAATGTCATTATTGTGTTGAGTTTGATCTGCAATGTGTAAATAATCTTATTATAAATATTTTAATAAAAATAGAATATTAATTAAATAAATACCAGAATAATTATCACTTTTTGTAATTACAGTTTCATTTTGTAAAATTTGATATCTTGTAAATGCCTAATATTAATGCAAATAAAGATTATTATACCATATGAGTTACTGCTTTAACAAGTTCTTCTGCATATCCTTTGGGGAACCCAAATTTACCATCTGATGATTTCAAAATTTTATAAAAATCAGTTCTGATCTAATTATTAATTTAAATATTTAAAAAATACACGCACTTTCTGTGTAAGAAATTAAAAATTTTATCAAAAAATTTATCAAGGGTTCCTTCATTTGATAATAACATCATAAGTAGATTATCATAATTATGACTTTCCTCCATTGAATGTATTATGTATTTTGGAACACAACAAAAAGAAATATTTTTAAATTTTGATCATAAAACGCACAATTAAGAACGAAACAGCTGATAGAAACAAAAATAATTTTTGATGCAAAATAATCCTATTCCACATAATTTTTGAATTGTTTACCAATATTAAAACCTTTAAAGTGTCTAATCACCAATATATCTTGTCATACAATTCTTTTCTTTTAACCTATACTTATTTGTACATTATTATTTTGCTATTATTATTTAATTAGTATCAGACAATGATATTATATATATCATTGGTATCAGACGACAGCAACAGCTATGATCAACTGTAATGTAATGTTTAAATTGGAAAATTTAAGAAGATATTTTAATTTTTATTAAGCAGATTTTTAAGGGATAAGGTGTTATACACTGCGAGTGGATGAATCTTATTTTTAATTTGATTAAAAGTAAAATGTTAATATTTCCTAATTAACTTTTATTTTTTTTCAAATTATCGGTACTGATGTAGACGGGGGATATGTAGTATCTTCACCGATTTTAAAAAATTTTAGCGTAAAAATTCTCAAAAAATAGGGAAAACGGGTTTCCCCTTTTATAAATATAATTTTTTTTTATGTAATGGCATTTTAGCATATTATTAATATTTTTTATCATGAATCATAAACAATGGTTGTATATCAATGTAATTATAACTTTTTCAAAACCCTATCATTTTCTATTTTAATTGATTCTTGGAAGGAAATACCCAATAGATATAAGGGAATATCATTGTCAGTTTTGACTATCCGTTTAAACAAAAATGTAAAATATTTCAAATTATTTTTATAATCGGAGTATGTATTAAAAATGGTTACGCATATTGATAAACAACAAAAAAGATAATATTAATATTATATATTATGTATCTTTCAAAATTAGATCGCGCATTTTTCGACTTGAAAATGTTAATAGATGTACAATAAAGTGCACAAGAATTACATATCAGACATTTTTTGTATTCTAGATACACTGCCCTGTAAATAATTTATTACCATAGAAATGCTAATAAATATTAGAATTTAAAATAAAAAATACAATCATGGTAGATGAATACATTGTCAATCAAATAGACTGCATAAAATCGGTATTAGTGTCTTCAATCGCTCTCAATGTTACATAAAATTAGACGATTCTAAATTCATGGAATCCTTATCCCAAAATGTATGAAAATTGTTATAAAATGTTTTTATAAAATATAAGAATAAAAAAAATATAATTTATTAAAATAAAATATAGATGTTAGTTTGTTTATTTGATTCAATATGTTTTATTCGCCATTGCATTTTAATGTCTTCCTTTTGATTTATGAATCATTGTAAACAGTTGTCCTTTAAAAATACTAAAACTTTTAGAAAATTCTCTTGGGATAGGTTCTAAATCGCTAAAAATTGGGATTCCCGCTTATATCTCCTAGAAAATTTTAAAGTAAATGAAATTAATATTAATAGATGATAGGTAGGAAACACATCTAGTTAGATTAAGGTTTTAAAAAATCTCTAAAAATAAAGGAAATCTTATCTTTGTTTTTAATTTGATTCCGGAAATTGGGAATAATGATGATATTTTCTCCATTTTAGCAATTTAGAAAGGGAACTGTTGATATATCACGTTTTAAAAATAAATAATAATGAAAAATTAATAATAATTTTAGAAAATATAATATAAAAAAAATCTTAAATTAACCTAGTAACTGTTACAATTTCGTATTTTAATTGTAATATATTAGTCGAAGGCTTTAAAGGAGAGACTAGTGTTGTTAAATGGTTGGTTTTTTACGACTCACAACCCGAGCCGAAGTCGTAAAAATCTGCTCAACCCTGAGCCAGGGTTGAAAAATCGACCATGACCCAACCCGACCCAATGGGCCTGTTGAGCCGACCCATTTGGTCGGCTTGTTGGGTCGGCTTGCGTTAAAATTTGTCATAATCGTCATTTTTAAGTTTTTTCGAATTTTTTTGAAGCAAATAGGTAAAAATATATATTGTAAACATGTTAAATTAAATTTTCAGTGAATATGTACCTTAGAAAAGTGACAATTGTCATAATCGTCATCTTTAAATTTTTTTGAAGCAAATAGGTAAAAATTAGTGATGTTAAGGTAACAGTTACATTTTGGCTAAAAAATAACTGTAACTAGTTATATTTTTAAAATTGTAACTAGTAACTGTAACTAGTAAAAATTTTTGAAATGTAACTGCCCAAAGTAACTAGTTACTTTTAAAGATATATTCAAATAATTAATTTTATTTTTAATATGTTGTGATAAATTAATTTTAAATTAAATTTATTTTTAAATTAAATTTATTAATTTAAAATTTTGTGAAAATGTCTGATTGTTCCCAACAATAACACAAATACTTATATGTATGGCAGATGTGCAGGGATTAAAATATTGTCAACCTCTAAAGGATACTATATTAGCTAGTATTGAAAAAAGGTAACTAAAATCAAATGATTATTTATAAATTAATAATATCATGTTATAGGTTTAATAATCTTTATGATAATGACAACATCATTGCTGCAATTCTTCACCCTTTATTTAAAACTGACTGGCCTTGGATTAGGCAAGAAAAGAATAAAGCAAAAAAGGAGGAAATTTTAAATTTAATAAATACCTTAATACCTCAAAGTGAATCCCAGACGAATTAATCATGCTCAAAACCAATATCACTTGATGTAGTTGGATTTTTTGACCTAAAGCGCCAAAATATTCTGGATAATGAACTTATAGAAAACTTTATCAAATCTAATAACAACACTTTTTCTTTATATCCAAAGTTAAAATTACTCTTTATTAAATATAATGTTGTTCTAACATCAAGTGCTCCCGTAGAGCGCTTATTCAGTCTAGGTAAGGTCATTTTTGGAGATAAACGAGCACGTCTCCTAGATAATAACAACACTTTTTCTTTATATAACGATTTTCCAAAGTTAAAATTACTCTTTATTAAATATAATGTTGTTCTAACATCAAGTGCTCCCGTAGAGCGCTTATTCAGTCTAGGTAAGGTCATTTTTGGAGATAAACGAGCACGTCTCCTAGATAATAACTTTGAAATTAATTTGTTGTTAAAAGCAAATAAACATTTATTAGATTCTAATTTTTATGAAAAATAAATGTTTTTTTTTCTATGCAAATATATATTTTTATATTCGATGTAAATATTCAATTTTGCGATATTTTTTTATATAAATAAATTGTATATTATTTTAAATAACTGATTATACTTTGTTTATCCTAATTTTTTTTATATTAAATAAATGCATTCAATAAATAAATAATGCGCATATGAAGGATGTATAAAGTAAGTAACTAGTTACTTATGAAAATAACTGTAACTAATAACTAGTTACTTTTGTAAAAATGTAACTAGTAACTATAACTAGTTATGTTTTTGCCAATGTAACTAGTAACTGTAACTAGTTGTGTTTCAAAAGTAACTTTTAACATAACTAGTAAAAATATATTTTGTAAACATGTTAAATTAAATTTACAATGTATATGTACCTTAGAAAAGTGACAATTGTCATAATCGTCATTTTAAAGTTTTCGAATTTTTTTGAAGCAATAAGGTAAAAATATATGTTGTGAACATATTAAATTAAATTTTCAGTGAATATGTACCTTAGAAAAGTGACAATTGTCATAATCGTCATTTTTAAGTTTTTTCGATTTTTTTTGAAGCAAATAGGTAAAAATATATATTGTAAACATGTTAAATTAAATTTTCAGTGAATATGTACCTTAGAAAAGTGACAATTGTCATAATCGTCATCTTTAAATTTTTTCGAATTTTTTTGAAGCAAATAGGTAAAAATATATATTGTAAACATGTTAAATTAAATTTTCACTAAATATGTACCTTAGAAAAGTGACAATTGTCATAATCGTCATTTTTAAGTTTTTTCGAATTTTTCTGAAGCAAATAGGTAAAATATATGTTGTGAACATGTTAAATTGAATTTTCAATGAATTTGTACCTTAGAAAAGTGAGAATTGTCATAATCGTCATTTTTAAGTTTTTTCGAATTTTTTTATATTAAATAGATAAAAAAATATATTGTAAGGATGTTAAAAAATTTCAAATAATTTTTTATAGCCGGGCATAGGCAGGCGGGAGAAAACTCGCCCAATGCTGACCTTTAATTTAAACATCTATTAGAAAAATCTAGAGGTTTAGGCAATATTTTTCTTAAAATATTGGCCGTGATAGAAATCGGCTCAAATCGAGCCGTTTAACAACACTATCGCTAATATTTTTAGAATCTTAAACTGACGATTACTAGAACAATAGTTATTGCTCTTTAAATATAAGTAATATGATTTGAATCCCATATTATACCAAATATATCGACGTTCTATATTTGTAGAGCTTCATTTGCGTAAATTCAGAAAATGAGAAAAATATTAAACTATATATGAAATATAGGAAATATTTATCGATCAATTTAATTTAAAATTTTTAAAAAAATTGACAAAATTTGTTTTTTAAAATCAAAATGCAAGTGAAGCAAATATAACAGTTATAATTTATATATAAAAATTGAATAATTTTGATTATATTTTGGACATATAAAAATAAGGATCTTAAGGTGATTACGAAGCAACAAAAATATAAAAACAAATCTTGATCTTTGGAATCCAATTAAAAGTTTGGATCGTTTTTTACGACCGAATTTTTTTATATTATATAGATAAAAAAATATATTGTAAGGATGTTAAAAAATTTCAAATAATTTTTTATAGCCGGGCATAGGCAGGCGAGAGAAAACTCGCCCAATGCTGACCTTTAATTTAAACATCTATTAGAAAAATCTAGAGTTTTAGGCAATATTTTTCTTAAAATATTGGCCGTGATAAAAATCGGCTCAAATCGAGCCGTTTAACAACACTATCGCTAATATTTTTAGAATCTTAAACTGACGATTACTAGAACAATAGTTATTGCTCTTTAAATATAAGTAATATGATTTGAATCCCATATTA